ACAGGGTTCTACTATATCTCATCATCCTACTCTAGAAGAACTACCTAAACTTCGTTATAGATGGCGACCATAAAAAACACATATTTCTACTAAACTTAGCTCAACTAGATGCCTAAAGGACCCGGCACTTTTTACCTGAGTTCGAGATTTGTGTATTATTATACGTAGATCTCCACTAATCAAAACATAATAGTTCAGTTGAAAACGTTGTGTGTCAATGTGTTCATTTTACTTATTTTTTTGTTTTAAATTTTTGGTGTCTTTCACCTGAGAAAGATATTTTAATTATTCTGATGTTATTTTTTTCCGTTTTTGTATGTATTTTGTATTAAAATAAGATATTTTTAGCCGTTTTGAAACCATACACTGCGGAAGCTCACGATGTTTAAACTTTTTGGATACGTACGCTACTATATATCCTCTCAAAAATTTCCCACCTCCTTTAAGCTCCTTCGATATTTACGCTCTGTACGGTACAATAGTTATACCCAAGAGGTACTTATATTAAACTCACTACACTTTATGATATACATAGCAATTACTATACATAATGTACTTACACTCATACCACTTCATTGTGTTTGAAGTAATGGGGAGTACTTACTATAACTTATTACACATGATATACATACAAGGTACCTATATGTGAATGGAGTATTGATAAGTATTTGCGATGCTTATTATACATTGAAAGTTTCGTACTATGCAATTAGACTCAGTACAGTGGGTTCAGAATTGGGAAGTACTTGTTAACTAAATCCCCCACTTTTTCTAAGTTCCTGCCTCGATATTCATGCCGTGTATGCTTGCGCCCGGCCGGTTACTCACTCTAATCATGGTGGTCGAGAGTCAAGGATGTCCCCCATTTATGTCTATTATTTAGAATGTACTTAGGAAACAAAATGCTATATATGCTACAATAGTAATAACCAAGAGCTACTTAAATTACTCATTACACTTCATGACATGTATAGAAATTACTATATATACAAGGTAGCTATACTCATTACATTTCAATGTGTATGGGGCGATGAGAGGTACTTATGATATTCATTACACATGGTGTATAGGGTATCTGAAAAGTACTTACTATGCAACTCATATTCATAATATACAAGCCTGAGAGGTACCCGCTAATTTTGTGAAGAATGGGGAACTATCCCTTCCACCGATGTTTACGTCTTGCGCGTCTGCTGGAGACTAGCGCTTCACTATAGCTATGACGGTTGAGAGTCAAGGATGTGTTTAGGTATGCTCCGACGTATTTTCCCTATGCTACAATAGTAATCATTGAGATGTACTTAGACTTAACTCATTACACTATATCCTATACCTAGTAATTACATACTAAGAGGTACTTACTATGCTCGTTACATGCTACCCGATATACATAGTAAATACTTACATCTATATATGTATGAAGTAATTACACCCATTACACTATGCATACCCTGTGGCTAATTGGGAGGTACTTATTATGCATTTACAATCATTACAGTATGGCGTGTACATGCAATTGCATTTATTTACAGTACATTATGTAATTGGGAGGTACTTGTTAATTACGCGTCTATCTCTGGCGCAGGCTACCCCTTCTTAGTCCCTTACCTCGATATTTCGGTTAAGCACGACCGTCTCTAACGCAGGCTAAGCACTCTAGGCACGACGGCCGAGAGCTAAGGACGTGCTGCCAACAGTAATCACTAGGAGGCACTTAGATAACATTCATTACACTACATTGCATACCGTCATTACTGTCTAAGGTGTACTTACACTTTAATATGTATGGAGTAATGAGATGTATACCCTGTGGGTAATTGGGAGGTACTTATTATGCAATTACAATCATTACAGTATGGCGTGTACATGGTAATTGGGAGGTACTTACTGTGCAATTGCACCTATTACAGTACATGATGTAATTGGGTGGTACTTACTGTGCAATTGCACTTATTACAGTACATGATGTAATTGGGAGGTACTTGCTAATTGCGCGAAGGGTGGGGGGTACTTAGGATAATTACTGATTACCCAATTGCCTCTCTCTGTACCTCTTTCTCATTTCCAGAACCGGCCAATTACATCTACTGTCGTCTAAATGACTAACGACCGATTAACCAATAGAAGCGCAAAAAAATGTCACGTGAGCTGTTGCTGGATGGGAGAAATTGTTTTGACGCGGCGAAAATGAAATCTGAATAGACTTTAGATCTTACTTTGGTTAATTAAAGAACACCATATTGGGGTAGTTACATTTATTCATGTGGCATGTGTTACTAATGCAATACGTTCTCCGACTTATTGTAATATTACAAAATATATTTATTGTCCTCAAATTTCATACAAAAACAGCCACAACCATTTCGCTTAGTGCATCTAGAAGATAACACAATCGTGAACTCAAAATTTAAAATTAAAATTTAGGATTCTACTATATACATACAACTAACTGACATTTATATTTACAAACTGTCCAAGTCTTCTGTCTGTCTACAGACGACGTGCACCTTTAGTTAACATCTGAGACGCATAGATGACGCCATCCTTACTGCGGTCGCTGCGTTTCCTATCTTTATGTCCCTAATCTCTGATCTAGGATTTATGCTTGTATTATAACAATAAAAAATCTGTTAACTGTATTTTATTTTGCTTAACACTACTATATTTAGTTATAATTCAAAAAAAATTTAGACACAAAATTGTACTTACCAAATTTCACCATTTAACAAACCTTTTCGGATTGGGTCATACTTACCTAAATTGCATTTTATAGATAAAATTTAATAATTTATCAATTAAAACATGCGAGACTTATTTAGAAATAAATACAACAGTATATTATGCGCTTATAAACAAGTTTATTTTTATTATTTTGACAAAAATTATGTAAAATTCTCATTAAGCCATGTATTTTGAACTTCGGTACTAGCACCAGCGCCCTTGCGATGAGTTAAAAAAAGCTCAATTAGCGTTCGTTTTTTGGGACTAGAGGTCGAGAACTATCGATAGTCGACACTATCGATAGTTGAGGCATAAAGTTATCGATAGTTTCCGATAATTTTTTCGGTATGAAATAATTCAAATTTTAGACAAAAAACAAACTTGGTTTACAAAACACAAAAATAATGTTAATACTGGTTACCTTTGCCTTTATTAAACAAGAAGCTTTCCATTGTTACAAATATCTAATGGTTACAAACATGAACTAAATTGTTTATGCTTGAAAATGATACCCAAAAATACTAAAAATGACCACGAATTAATTGCCTCTTGAGAAAACGTTTTTCCTTTTCACTTTTTCTGTTTTGCGGAAATAGATTTTTATTTGCACAAAATGAGGTTAAGGGGTTCTACATCTTCTAATTTTGTAGGTTCAGGCGCTCTCGATAGTTCATAATATCGATAGTTCTCGACCTCTATTTGGGACCTTATTTCGAGTATGTCGATTCGCCTCCTTATCCCTAGTCTTCATAGTAACAACATGAAAGGATAAGTATGCAACAAACATCGGAATGTCGATTATGCAGCATGGAAGACGAACCTTCAGAGCACATTTTATGTACCTGCTCTGCTGTGAAAAGAACTAGGATTAGACCATCGAATTCACCCGACTAGAGACTACTGACTTCAAACAGGTCTCACCCAATTCAGCCATGACTTTCATCAAAAGGCGTGGCTTGTTCGGAGAACTATAAGTTAGATATGAGCCACAATAAATCCATCTGGGTCGCAGTAAAGGAGACGAGATCATCCCACTAATTTTTAACCTAACCGATTCATTTCTTTCATTATATTCCAGAAGTTTTACCATTTTCCATTGACCCTTAATACATTTCGTTTTAGGAAAAAACTCCATACTTGGTTTATCAACATATACCCAGTTTATTTAAAAATATTTTATTTTGTTAGAAAATCCAAAATATTAATTTTTGTTTTTTTTTGTTTTCAGGATTGATGCTGCTCAAAAGTGGCCGAGGTCAACTAGTTCTCATTCACAGTGGTCACATATACACACTCTGTGATAAGAAAGACATATGCACCCTATGGGTGTGCGTCAAAAAGAAAACTCTAAATTGTCCGGGTTGTCTAACAACTCTAAATGGCCCCATCCTACTTTCGTTCACTACACACAATCACCCTCAAATGCATGATGTCATCCAGAAATTGCAAGTGCCTTCTTGTAGTATTTCACCTGAACTGAAACTATGAGATTTTTGTATAGTTAGGTGGGGACAAAGACATCTGATTTGTTGATGTCGATGTACATTAAACTTTGAATTTGATATTTTCAAACTTACTAGCGGTCGGTTGCAAGAAAGTCTATTAAAATTTATGAGTTTGACGGAGCTTGAGATTGTGTTATATCCAATGTCATAAACTTCAAATTGTTGGCTACTAAATTTTATTGAACGTTCCTGCAACCGGCTGTATAACTGTAATAAATCACAAAACAGTTATGTCAAAACATACCCCATTTCAAATTAAGGGAAGGAAACCCACGAAAAAACTTTTTAGCCAAAGAATCTTGTTCCTAGATTTGGCTGTATTAATGAACCAAACGCCATGGAACTCTAGTTTATTATTTATTTTTTACTATTGGACTGTTACTTAATTCTCAAGATTATTTTTAATTTTTACCGTTTCGAAATACTTTTGAGGAAAGTAATCAACGAATTTTATTTATGTTTATTTATATTATGTATTAGAACGTTAATTTCAAGTGTGTAGCTTTAAGTCGTTGCGAACTTACAAAACGACCTTATAAATTCAGCCATTTTTATTTTTAAATTTCTTTAATATTGCAATAAGTAACAAAAATGCAATGAAACCAAGAATCCGAACCATTTTTTTTTAAGATTATAAAAATATTTATTTTACCATTATAAGGTGCAATTTTTTTGTTTGGAAATAACTGATTTTTTATGTGAGATGTTATTTAATTTCGTTTATACAGTATGAGAATATGAAATTATTTTATATTTTTTTGAAATAAAATTTTGTTAACTATTTTTTTTTTTATTCTATTATACTAAAACATTCAAAATAATTGCTGCTATTTACGTTAATGTTTTTAAAATAAAAATATATTGAACATGAACCCAAAGTTTTAATAAAAAAAAAAAATATGTATATAACCATTAAGTCATATAGGTAGCCTTACAAAATTAACTTAAAAATTTCTACATATTTAAAGAAAAATCGCCTCCTTTCTTTTGTTGACTTTCTGTCCAAGCCTTTGCAATAGTCCTTTTCATTTCATCATCCCCAGTTTCATACCTACAAATTAATGTATTTTAGTGAATCCAGAGGAAGAATTAAATTAAACAGTACTTACATATTTTTCATGAGTGACATTAGACCTTCTGAAGGATCCATTTTTTCAGTGTCAAATTTGGGCGCTTTATTCTCACTAGCTTTCTTATCCCATTCAGTAAGATGAGACCAGTTATCTTGTGACTTTTTAGCAACACTTATTATAACCATATCTGAAAAACATATGTTATCCATAAACTTTTAACACTATTTAGGGTCGGTCTTTTCACCTTCAGATAAAGTGACAAGTAATTTTTATCTCTCAGATAACTTAAAAAGAAATTTTGAATAAGAATAATTTCCTGACCGTAGCAGAATTTTATATAAATAAAAATTTCCTTGGTTTATTCGGTCATATTATTTTCTATAATTTAAGCACAAGCACTACATATGTTTCGGAATGCAGTCAAAATTTAATAAAACATAGAAGACGATTACAGTTTAAAATTTTTTTAAAAAAATCCCATCTTTCTGTTTCACAGCGTGTGAAGGTGTTTTCGAAATAATAATTTGGTTTAACACTATTAGGGTCGGCTTTTCACCTTCAGATAAAATGTTAAGTAATTTTTATCTCTCAGATTACTTAAAAAGTAATTTTGAATAAGGATAATTTCCTGACCGTAACAGAATTTTATATAAATAAATTTCCTTGGTTTATTCGGTCATATTGTTTTTATTTTCTATAGTAGATAGATCGAGCCGGAGTAATAAATATGTCAGATCAGAAAATTTCAGGTGTGGGTGCCTATATTATTTAGGGGGTACATAAAATCATCATTTTTTTGAACATGTATTGTTGACTATTATTTCGATATGTAGGTACTTTACAAAATGTTTTTTGAGTTATTTGCAATTGTTATGTAAATGGTAGTTATCTTTTTGAGTAAATTAAAAACAATATATATATATATATATATATATATATATATATATATATATATATATATATATATATATATATACATCCCACTATCATTTCGGCATCCTTTCATAACACCTTAATTTGGCGTCCACTAGAAAGAAACCTATTTTTAAATATTTAGCCGTGTATATAAATCCGGCGCATTTTTTAATACATGAAACTCATCTTAGATTTTTAGTAGCGTAAAGTTTACTATATACGCGACTTTTACACTAAAACGCATTTTGGCGTCCGTACAAAAAAAAATTAAAAGTGAAATCATTGCGACTACCAGCAACGTTGCCAAGTTTCTTAAAAGAAAATCCAATCATTGTAACGTCACATATTATAGATATACACAGACGGTGCATCAACCATTATTTTAAACCCCACGTTTAACATAATTATATATTATTATTAGTATATCTGAAAGCTTTTAATATCATCCTTTTAACGTCCTGTACCTAATGTATATAACATAATATGTTTAAATATATAAATCACTATGGCGTCCTCTTAGTTATTTTTAAAAACCGATCATTCTAGCGTCAACGTATATGAAAAACATTTTACTTTTATAATCATTTTGACATCTATCATGCGACATATATAAACTATATTTAAATTTTTTAATCATTACGACGTCTCGTTAGTTTCCTTTTAATACCGATCATTTTAACGTCCACATATACAAATGTAAGAAACACTTTACCTTAATAATCATTTTGGCGTCTCCATCATGCAGTGTATATAAAATATATTTAAAATGTTCAATCATTTCGGCGTCTCGCTAGTTTTCTTTTAAAACATTCTAACGTCCACATATACATATATGAGAAACACTTCACCTTATAATCATTTTGGCGTCTCCATCATGCAGTGTATATACAATATATTTAAATTTTGCAGTCATTATGACGTCTCACTAATTTCCTTTTAAAACCGATTATTTTAACGTCCACATATACAAATATAAGAAACACTTTACCTTTATAATCATTTCGGCATCTACATCATGAAGCGAATAAAAAATATATTAAAAATTTTCTACCATTTAGGCGTCTCGCTAGTTTTCTTTTTAAACCGGTCATTCTAACGTCCACATAATATATTTGGGAAACACGTCACATTTACAATCATTTTGGAATCTCCAAAGTGGAGGTAGGAATGTTAGTAGATCAACCTGAAATTTTCAAGAGAAATCAAGCCGAATCAGAGGGCAGAGTCTATAGATTTTGAAAAAAATCTAGTAAGAATTGGGAAACTTAAAAAAAAATCATAAATCAAAAACTAAAATCAATATCCACTTGAAATTTCTAGGAAAAATCAAGCTCTTTTAGAAGGCGAAGCCAATTCATTTTGAAAAAAATTGTTTTAAAATTGGGGGTTTAAGGGGGGATTGAAACAAGATATATAGGCGGACGAAGCCTATAATAAAAAATGGGGGTTAAAGGTAGTTGAAATAAAAATATCGTAAATCAAAATTGAAAAATGAAAAACGATATCAACTTAAAATTTTTAGGAAAAATCAAGTTCTATAAGGGGACGAAGCCTTGTGATTTTGAAAAAAATCTGAATAAAAATGGAGGGTTTAAGGGGGATTGAAACTTAAAAAATAAAACAAATCAAAAACTAAAATCAATATTAATTTGAAATTTTCAGGAAAATCAAACTTTATCAGCTTTATTGATTTTGAAAAAAATTATTAAAAATGGGGGTTTAAGAGGGAGTTAAAACAAAAACAAAATTAAAATCAAATCAAAAACGAAAACGAAAAATAATATAAACTTAATTTTCACTAAAATTCAAGATCTATAGGAAGACGAAATCTATTGATTTTAAAAAAATCTCAATAAAAATGGGTGGTTAAGGAAAGTTAAAATTAAAAAAAAAAATCAAAAACGATATCAATTTAATTTTTTTTGGAAAAATTAAGCTCTATAAGGGGACGAAGCCTATTGATTTTTAAAAAATCTGTATAAAAAGAGGGGAGTTAAGGAGGTTGAAATAAAAAAAATCCGAAAATTAAAAACGAAAAACAATATCAACTTAAAATTTTTAGGACTAAACAAGCTCTATATGGGAATGTATTTAAATAATCGTTACTTTAATAATTGACATTGCTTGGCAAATAGTTGTTGAATATTGCATATTATGTGTAACCGAGGTGAACCCTTAACGCATAAATATTATTATTAAATTTGGATATTTAATTGTAATTTTTTCATTATTTACCCCCAACCAAAGTGTCTGTTAATATTACTTAATTAGGTTAGGCAATAGGTATTTTACTCGTAGGTAAGGTAACGATTTATTAGCAAGAGATACTCATTTATAGCATAGCCGCTTGAGTCATCATGAAGATGAATTTGGTTTAGCTGTTTGGAGTTTTATAGTAAACCGTTACTTGGAATTGTTGGATATGAGTAAACTCCTGACACTTATTTGCATACAATACTTTTGCTACGACTCACCTCCTTCTTCACTGTAGCTAGTCGGCATTTAACTGTCGATGGTAGAAAATTTCACCTCATTTGCTTAGGCAAGAAAAATAGGTGGCATTTTTGTTTGAAATAGCATGAGTACCGGTTTTAAACAAAATAAATACATTACCGTTGTTATTATCATTCTAAAATTATTAACAAAAGTTTAACACTTTAACTAGCTATAAATGAATGTATTAATTTACCAATTTGTTTTGTCGTGTAAATCATTTTTAAGCGCGAAGTTTCTAACACGTGTGGTAGTATAAGTATCAAATTTATAGGTTCTATATAGAGAATAATTATATATAATACAAAACTTTTGTTTTTAAAGGTAAAATTTATTATTTTAAGGCTTTAAAACGGACCACTTGAGTAAATTGCTAACATTGGAAAATTGGGAAACTTTAAAAAAAAAATTAAAAATCAAAAACTAAAACCAATAGCCACTTGAAATTTATAAGAAAAATCAAGCTCTTTTAGAAGACGAAGCCTATTGATTTTAAAAAACATTGTTTTAAAATTGGGGGATTGAAACTTAAAAAAAAATCATAAATCAAAAACGAAAAACAATATAAACTTGAAATTTTCAGAAAAATTAAGATCTATAGGCGGACGAAGCCTATTAATTTAAAAATAAAAATGGGGGTTAAAGGTAGTTAAAATAAAAAAATCGTAAATTAAAATTGAAAAATGAGAAACGATGTCAACTTGAAATTTTTAGGAAAAATCAAATTCTATAAGGGTACGAAGCCTTTTGATTTTAAAAAAACCTGAATAAAAATTGCGGGTTTAAGGCGGGTTGAAACTTAAAAAATAAAACAAATCAAAAATTAAAAACAATATTAATTTGAAATTTTCGGAGAAAATCAAGCTTTATCAGAGGACGAAGCCTATTGATTTTGAAAAATCAGAATAAAAATGGGTGGTTAAGGGGAGTTGAAATTAAAAAAAAGAAATTAAAAATGAAAAACGATGCCAACTTAATTTGTTTTGGAAAAATTCAGCTCTCTAAGGGGACGAAGCCTATTGATTTTTAAAAAATTTGATTAAAAAGAGGGGAATAAGGAAGGATGAAATTAAAAAATCGCAAAATTAAAAACGAAAAACGATATCAACTTAAAATTTTTAGGACTAAACAAGCTCTATATGGAAATGTATTTAAATAATCGTTACTCTAATAATTGACATTTTTTGGCAAATAGTTGTTGAATATTGCATATTATGTGTAACCGAGGTTGAACCTTATTATAATACCTATTATTATACTTGTTATAATACCCATTAATTACAATACTTATTATAATATTATTGCCAAAAGTCAATAAAGCCATGTATTACTGTAGCGATTTGCAAGAGTAAATAAAATGAAAATATTTTACCTATTGTTTTATACATAAGACAATAAAATATTAAAGAATTAACTTTTTTCAATTATTCTGACCTAGTGGGGGTGAGTGGGGGTGGGTTAAGGAGAAATTCAGTAAATTTAACAAAATAAATTACATAATTTCAAATAATATATTCAAGTTGTTTCATTTTAATTAATTCCAACCTTAAATAAAATTATTTTTTTATAATTATGCTTTACATTTTAAATTCTTACCAATTGTTACATTCATTCAAAATAAACACGAAAATATTAAAAAAAATGAAAAATATTGTAAGAGTCAGTTACAGGATATGTCTAAATTAATTTATTTAAATTTTTTAATCAGTAAAATCTTGGAAGCCAAATTGATCCAAATAACGATACTTCTATATGGACGTCAAAAAGACGTATATAATA